ATTATCATCATCTTCTTCATCATCATCGTCTTCATCATCACCATCCTTACTTTTATCATCATCATTCCATGGCATCATCATCGCTTTTATAATCATCATCACTACTGTCAGACATTTTTGTCGGCATCAAAATTTTTGGATCAATATTATCCCTTTTTTGATAACTTCAATCTTATTACACTTTTTACTAAAATATGACTTGAACGTTAAAAATTTGTTCAATTTTTGTAACATCGTCTTCCACCTATCGTCACCACATCACATCATCCAATTCCATCCAATCCCATTCCATCCCATTCCATTACATCCCATTCCATTCCATCCTATTTCATCCCATCTTATCCCATCTTCATAATCATCAGTACCTGTCGAACACAACACTTCCTCTTCGTGACCCAGGGTCACATCTCATGTTTGTTGAACGTGATCATCGGCGTATCAACTATGTTTCCAAGGCAAGGCACAGGCCAATAAAACCAACCAAACAGCCAGCCAACTAACCAAACAATGTATCATTCAACCCTACAAGCCAGTAAAAAACCAACCAGCCAGCCAACCTACTGCCAACAACTAGCCAACCAATCGACCAACCAATCAATAATCAATCAGCCACACAGTCGCCAACATAACGTGACAAAACTTTCCTATCTTATTGGTACATTTCATTAAATGATCCTATTTAATTATTAAAAACAACTGAGTTCTTTTGTTTGTCTTCGCCGGTCGTCACATTTCTGTTTTTTACTCTTTATTTTGTCTTATTTCTTCTCATTGACTAGAAAATTGTTGCTGGGTTTTTGATTTTTACAATTGTAACTGTATTTTGAAAAAGAATCATTTCGTTACTCTTCATCTCATTGTTAAGTGTAAATCAACAATTTGTATATAGGATTTTTTAACTTCTAATAATACTAACACACAAACAATTTCTTTTTGTCTTATTTCTATGCAGGTTTCATCTGATCATTCATAAAATTTTTAGTGACTTCACTTCAATTTCCATGCTCTCATTTCTTTCAAACTAGATGTATAGGTGTAGGTATTAAATCATCAGTAATAATTGTACCTTAAAAACATCGCTATTTATAATCGCTTTCATTTATGTACGTTCATTCGAGATAAATGCTTTTGTCATTTAAAATCATCGTTAGAATATGTTTGTGTACGGATGCAAACGTACCTCAATAATATAGACTCTTTTTGAACCTTGAATTGAACCATTGAAACTTCAAAATTATAAGAACCATTAAAAACTTAAACTTATGAGAACCTTTGAAACCTTATACCTATAAGAGCCATTGAAACCTTGAACGTAAGAATTAAGGTGGTCTGGTGATATTTTGCAGGGTGTGCTGGGAATGTTCAAAAATGACAATAGAGATAGTAACAAAATTAAATGTTGTTACTTCCACCTCAGTTTACTTTTAAATTTTAAGAACTTATCCAACTTACCTGACAGGATAAACAAAGGTTACTTCGTTGGCTGGTTGATGTTGTGTTCCGCACTGACGAACGAACAAAATTTATTTAAAAAACTTAATTTAAAGTTTAAACTATGTTGAACAGAGTTATCTTGTCTGCGCGACAACTTACAAACGTCATCGGTGGTGGTAGTGGTGCTGGCCTCAGTCCTGCTACAGTTTGCTGTGGTCGTGGTGGAAGGTTCATCCATCT